AGCCAGAACCCTTCTGGAGAGGGTATGGGTAACTGATCACATCTTCTGAAGCCAGCCCTGAGTAGGAGAGAAAGATGCAGAGCTTATCTAAACAATTGAAGCAGGTACTGGCATAGCTTGTTTTATTGAACTTTGCTTCATTGCACTTCACAGATATTACATTTTTAACAAGCTGGAGATTTGGTATTAATGGTATAAAATCTCCAATTGTTTAGAAATGCAATTTTTAATTTTTATTCATAATTATCGGTGGTAATGATGATCTGGAGTAGGTTTTAGAGATGAATATGAATTTTCTGAGATAATAAAGGACGGGAAATGACACAAGAAAGCTCATGTCCAAAGTCTCAGAAACGTAGAAGATCATGGCATATTTGCAAAGCTGCAAATCATATACTAGTGATTTGTCCCTCCATGCATGTTTACATATGCATTGAGGGTGAAAAAAAGATGCAGGAGAAGATAGTAAGGAGTTGCAGTTGGTTGCATTTTGATAAAATGTCTGTTCCTCCTTAAGAATCTTGGGTTCTGTAGGGACTTGAAATGAATTAAGACTTACATATCTCAAACTCAAAAATGAGACCCCCAATGCCAAACAGTAAAAGATAACAGGATAAATTATATTAATACTTTACAGTCTCAAGATATCAGAAATTATTCATTGATATGCAGCAACATCAAATATTCAAAGGTCTTACGTTAGATTAGAAATTGGAAGAACAGAGCACGTATGATATTAGACTCTGAAGATTTCTCCGATTTCCTTCCATTAGGATATGTCATTTATGTTATTAGAAAACTATAGTTAAATTCTTCTTAGTGATGAGTGTTTAGTCCACTGTGACTATAGGTATATGTCTGGACAGCACTCTAGACAAAAATTTGCTTGTTAAGTATGGAAATTATTTCTGAAAAATTTCCCTCTTATTTGTGTTTTGTTTTTCATAAAGAGAATATATAGACATTCAATGTCTAAGCAAGAAAAATAAACATTATCTTCCCTCTATCTTGTTCATAAAGCCAGAATTATAAGCCTGCAGTGGGGCTCACAGATAAAACTAGAAATATTTTTATTACATCTTCTTTGGCTTATGACCAAAAAAGAGACTTTTAGTGGTTACAAAGAAACCTAAACAACAGAACTATTAGAGTGGCCCTAACCTTTCTTCATCTCCACAAAGGAGTCTTCATTTCTGATTTCCTCAAAGTGTATGTGTTAATCCTGTTTTATGTAGCCCGGAAATCCTGCACTAACTTGTCACAATGATAATGAATATATTTATGTATATATGCCAAGATGTGGTCAATGCAATATTTCTTTCTAGCCTGATCTTTGGCTATTTTTTTTCTAACCAAAATCTCTTTGGGTAGGGATCCATTGGACAGAATCCTTCCCAATGGATCCCTACCAAAAGGACCAATGAGAAAAACGTGATTCCTCCCCAGTGAGCTCAGGGACCATCTTTTTTTCATTTTTTCTGGTATATACAGGCCATCAGCATGGATTTTGACTTACAGACACCTCTTAATATTTGTTGTATCAATTTGAAGTCAATTGTTAATTAGTCATATTAATTATGACTTTAAAATCACAAAGCAGAGAAGCAGTTGTTAATTTAACTTTTCAAAATCGTTCTTAAAATCCTTTCTTAAGGTATAGCTTAGGTTATAGAGTCATTACCTATGAGTTATAGATTCCCTTACACAGGATTAAATGAGTGAGAGTAGATCATGTAGAGGTGTGTGTAGAATTATACTAGGGATTCAATAACCCATAGGCATATTCACACTCCTCAACACTCAAGTGAATACTAAAGTTTAAGTAATATTATGTATATGTCCACGGAATTTGGACTTGTTAAAAAGGTCTCCTCATTTCCAAAAGAGTGAGCAATCTATGGCCCATTAGAAACCAAAACAGTTTATCAATGTGTTTATGTATGTGTATGTGGGTGTCTGGGGTGAATGGGGGTAGTCAGTTCAGACACATGGTGAAAGTATTATCTTTTGTCCTGGTTAAGAGGATGTGTTACTGCACTACAGGATTTGGCTGTTTTTGCCATCATCCTCATTTTCATCCTTGTTAAAAATGTAATGATATTTTTAATAAATGATACTTATTGAGTCTTTTCAACATGTAAACGCAGCCCAAGGTAATGAACAGATATTACTTTCCATTCTCAAAACAATTCTTCCGGGTAAACATTCTTATCCCTATTTTATAAATGAGAAAATTGAGGCTTCTGGGAACTCAGAGACTTTGTCTCAAAGTCCTAGAGTTCTTGATTGGTCAGAGTCCAGGATTCAAACCCAAGGCACCATGACTGCAAAGCCATTTTTCTTTTCTTCATAATAGTGTTTCTCAAAGTGCAGTTCATGGATCAGGTATAGCAGACGCACTTGTGGGTGTAGATTCTTGGATAGAAATGCATTTCACATATTTAGGGGTTATAATACATGGAGCATTCCTTCCTGTGCCCCATCTCTAGAACTATAATCTCTGAAGGTGGGATAAAGGAATCTGCATTTGAACAGGTAGCATTTGAGAACCACTGCCACAGACTATACTGTTACGGAAGAAAAAATGTACTTTATGAAACTCTAAATTTCCATATAAAATCAAAATTGGGAGAGGTAAGAAATGGCAAAACAGGACATGATACTTCCTAAATCAAGAAGGTACCTCCTTTCATCTTCTTTTAAAACCTCCTAGGTCCATATTGCTGAGTCTTCCCTGGCCATAGCACTTCTGAGAATGTCAGGCTAATTGAATTGGGCACCAAATTTTATCACTGGACCCCATTTGCTGTGGTTATGACTTGGGCATTGGAGCTGTTGCTTGTATAATAACTTGAATGTGTATGTGACATCAAAGGTCTATTTTCAGCATTTGTATATTGCATATTTAAGCATATTGAGATTTTCTTAGTCTTTGTTTATTTTGGGAAGTAGTTTAATCTAATCTTTATATTATAAGAAAATGTCATTTTTAGCTCCAGTCCAAATACTGTATAATCACAGCACTCTGATGTAAACTCCAGAGCTGACTTTGAGAAAACTTAATACATTTTATTTTATAATGTAGTCACCAAGTTTAAATCGAACTGCACTAGGAAACCACCAAGAATGTAAGGGCAATTTAAAGCCTAATGATCATATTCACTGCTGCTGATGGTGATGATGATGTCCATTGCCTAAAATGACTATAGCCAAGGAAAGCAAACCAATTGATTCTGAGCTTGTAAAAAAAAATTATTTTAAAGAAAATCGTTTCATTCAGGAAATCCTCTTGTACTTTCCCCATAATGCCAAAAAAAATAATTTTCAATAGATGCTCTGCTATCCTCCCTGGCCCAAATCCCAAATCAGAGAAGATGAAGCTTCTAACTCCTAATTTGTGTCATACTGACTCTAGATACTCAATACATATTTCTTGTTTCCACCTGTTTTGTCCATCAGCTTGCTGCAGGAGGCAGCTTAAGCTTAGAGGTTAAGAGTACATCGTGTACTGTGAATAGACTGTTAGTAATCAGGACTGTGCCTCTTTATAATTGTGTCAAGAAACTTGACCTTGTCACTTGTTGGACTATTGTTTCATCCCCTAAAAACAGAGATGATAAAAGTGCCTACCTCATAAGGATTGTTTTGAATATTAAACAAGATCATATATGCAAAACAGTGAGCCAAGAGGCTGCCCCACATTACATTCTCAGAAATGGTAGCTATTATTAATAAACCATTGCACATTTTAGAACAAAGGACTAGTAAAGCCATTTCTAAGGATGATTAATTTAGAGGTCTAGACTGGAGGGAATTGGCCAACAGACTAAGGGATGAGAGAGGAGGTGTTGACAATTCTACAGCTTAACATGCAGAGTTTGCACAAGCCTGGTGACAATGTAGAGATCTTACATTGATTAATTGACTTTTAGGAGCAAACACTGTACCCTGTGCTCACATTTATTAATTCATTTATCCAGGTTTGAAACATTGAGAATGAACCAGCAACCAATAGTCAGAAAAGATGGAATAAAGCATTTTATTTCATAGATGGTCATGGATTATGCTGGTAGTAGAAATAGAAGGCCTGGAGTCTATAACATTTATTGGCTCTAAAAGCCTGAGAAGATCATTTTATCTTCATGGGCATCAACTTTTGCATCTGAAAAATGTAGGTAATACTGCTTTGGAGACAATGAGCAGGACATTTGTATACATTTGAATTTATAAAGTAATTTTTTAGGAATTACAATAATTTATCCTCCATGTCTTCTGTTTTGTTTTTCCTGATTTTCCTCCATATGGAACTGATATCCTCATCTGCTCACTAATCTGTAGAATAGCTATAACTTATGTATACCAACACCTACACTTATTTTCTGTGTCTTTTAAACAGAGATTAATCATTTTATTTGGCCATAGAGTTCCTCTTCTACTCTGTTAGATGAGCTTTCACTGTTCTTTGAAACACATTGCAATGTTCTCTGTGAGGCTTTCCTTACTCCTGCCACCCAATTTCCTACATTTGACCATTCATTTTCCTGTCGTCACATAGCAATTTACATGTACCTCTTAGTAAATATATCAAATTATCTTATAATTGTCTGCATGCTTGTTTGATTCTCAAGATAGCAAGCTCCTTGAAAAAAAAGGCATATTCATTTTTGTATCCCCAGCACCTGGTATGGCTTCTGGCAGGGAGGTGGCCTGCAGTAAATTTTGTTAAATGTATTAATTTTAGCTCATTGCTATTGGTACTATGTATATTAGCAAGGCATTCCCATTTCAGTTTTGGACACATTACCATTAGGGAGAAAATCAGAAATCAAAGAAGAAATTTCTACTAAGCTTCATATAATGCATGAAAAAAATCCTAGCATATTTAATATATATGAGAAATAATGGCACAATTATTAATATATTATACAATGTTTCATAGCATATACTGTGTGAGACATGTCACATTTTCAAAATGAATACTAGATGTTTCTGGCTCTAACCTGCTAAAAGGGTCCTGTGGCTTTTTTTCTGCATTTAATCCTTTGCCTTTTGACTTCACCCCCACTTCCATCATCAGCATATACACCATCATACCATAAATTCAAATACTTTCTGATCTAGTCTCTCCCCTTTTTCCTCATCAGCTATTCATTTTATCATTAGCTACAGAGTTTAATTAGAAGTTTGATCTCACGATTCTTTCTTTATATCCATTTTACATTATCTTGTCTTATACCCATGATTGAAGAGTTGCCACTTTATACCCAGGATAGAGGAGCTGCCACATGGTAAGCATGCTGGCACCAAGCAGAGGCACATCCAGGTTTTTCAGTATTCTCCTGGTAAGGTTGGTTAGCTCTCAGAAGCTGAGCATACATTTAAAACCCTTAACCAGCATCACTTAGATTTCCTTATAGTCGCATCTTGGTCTATAGCTAAGTGGACATGAAATCAATATGCACTCATGGAAAGCTAGCCCTTGTGAGATACATTCTAAATAATGCAGCATATCCTAACAATTGGAGGGTACATAATTCCCTCCATCTAAAAAAAATTGATTTTTGTCCTTTAACTATTATCCTTGTACTGCAAAGGGTTCTATTTTCATCTAAAGTTTCAAACTTTTCAGCCATGTACCATAAACAAACACTAAAAGATTTCATAATATTCTTAAGATTGTCCACTCTCAGCAGCAAAGAATGCCACGATGAATGCTGAAGGCTAAGAAGTAATAAACGATCAAAAGCTTCATTGCAAATGCCCTGAAAAATCTCTTTTCCTTCTGCAGCTCAGCAGGGTTCAGCTCTGCTTACACTTTTAGGCCATGAATGAAAAAGTTGCCTTTGGCCTTGTCTGACCCCTTTCTCCATGTTAGAAAGGGAGAGAAGAAACACAAGATGTAATAAAAGAATTGAATGGTTTGCTTCTCATTTCTGTCAACCCAATGTCTGCTGCCAAAAAAAAAAAAAAAAAAGGAAAAAAAAAAAACCCTCCCCCGAAGCAAACACTTCTTATTAATATGCATATGGATCTCCTGATGATCTTGATAAATTGCTGTTTCAGGACATCTGGGGTGAGGCCTGAAGTTCTGCATTTCTAACGAGCTTCCACATGATGCTGATGCTGCCGGCCCAAGGACCACATTTTGAGTGTTGTGTTGGGCAGAATCCTAACGATGCCCTTCTTCCCCTAATATTCTTGGACCCTGGTTATTTAATCAAAGATCAATCCAGGTACTGCTGGAAGGGAATTTTGCAGTTATAATTAAAGTTCCAAGTCAGTTTCAATTGACCTTAAGATGCAGAGGTTATCCAGGTGGGCCCGTTCTAATCACTTGAGACCTTTAAAAAGCAGGATAGGGGAGCGGAAAGGAGGCAAAGAAATTCAAAAGATGAGAGAGGTTTGACCTGCTGCTGTTGCTTTGAACATAGAACATGCATGTGAGAAGGAATGTGTCAGCCTCAGAGAAATGAGGTTGGCCTCCAGATGGCAGCCGTCAAGGCAACGGGGTCCTGTGAGGAACTGCGTCCTGCCAAAACCTTGAATGAGCTTGGAAGGGAGTTCATCCCCAAAACCTCCAGAAGAGAATGCAGCCTTGCTGATACATGGATGTTTTGAGAACAACTGAGAAACTCTAGATAGAAAAAAACAGCTCAATCATGCTGTGTCCAGACTCCTGGAGTTGTTTTAAACAGCTAAGTTTGTAGTAATTTGTTAAGTAGTAGCAGAGAACTAATACAAGTAGGAAGGCTGTAATTTAATAGAACTAAGTAAAATCTTTCCATTCATATGTGGGGTAAAAAATAAGTTTTGATCCTTGCTCCTTGATATCGAAGCATAGAATCATTTTTAATGCAAAGAACAAAGAATTTGCAATTGAAAATATACATGTAGTGGTCTCATCTCTTTCTCTTTTACTTCTTGAGTTAGAAGAAATCTTTAAACCTTTTTGGACTGCAGTGTCTTCAAGATTTTTTTTTTTTTAAATTAATAGTACCTCTTCTAACTAACTGCTAGAGAGAGGTTAAGAATAGCATACAAAATAAGTGAAAAAGTCCTGTAAGCTACAAAACACTAGTCATAAATACAGAATCAGACGTAGTGTACATTTAAATTATGCGTCATTGAACTTTTCTCTGGTCATAAGAAAGTTCTTCAGACATTAAAATACCATAATTTACTGTTCAAAAATCTCACGATTGCAAGTGAGAGTAGATGAAAGTGAACACAAACACTTTGAAAATCCCTTGTTGTCACCCACCCTTCTTATCAGAGGTAGTTATTTAATAGCAGAGTCTCAGACATGAATGTATATCACGTCTTTTTTTTAAAAGAGCTGTAAAGTAAAAGCGGTATTTTATTGGATTAATTGAAAAAGCTAGTCCATCCAACTTTTTTCTCTTTTGCTGTCAAATGTACTTAGGTACGTTGTAAATAATTTAGGTATTATTTGTAAACAAGATTGTTCTCAGATGAACAGGATGGAAATTGCTGAGAGATTGGATTTAGATGAGCTGTGCATTGTGAAAGAGCAATGCAGAAAGGTACTCAGGGTTAACAGAAGCTATATCTAACATGTAATATCTTCCCCATGCACGGTGCCAAATCATTAGTTTATAGCAACCTTTTCTCTGCTTTTCTTGTGTGTTAACTTTTGCAGTGAGCAGATGCAGCCACGCACATTTTGTTTGGCAGAAGGCAGATGCCAGCCCCTGAAATGGGTGCCCAGTTCCAAGGGCAACATCTGGATCCCTGGCTTGGCTCTGTTCCTGTCTGTGCTTGTGGCTATACAATGCCCCCTGGAGACATTTTATGATTAGTCTGAGACAGAGTTGGCATGAGTGTCTTGTCTCCCTGGCAACCCTTTTCCCTTTGATTCTTATGCATCTGCTCAGCAATATACTGTATTTGGGAAACTGCTCCCCACGTTATTTCCAATCACAAAGCTGATGACAGAGGACTTTTGCTGAATGGGATATCATTTTCCCTGTTGTCTGAAGCTATTGTTTTCCAGGGTCCTCATAACTGCATCAAACTGCAGAGTACATCATCTCTGCAAGGCCACTAAGTTTAGGACAAGCATTAGATTTTAATGAATTCTCAGAGGCAAATCTTGAACCAGTGGGGAGTTTTCAGAAGCTATGCAGGAGCCAGGTGGTTGGAGCAGACTGCCCAGGCTTCTTTCTTGGAAAAGAAGAGCCTGGTTGGATGAATCTGTATTTTTCACTTAAAACAAATTATTAATATTATATTTGATTGACAAAACGTAATTGTATACATTTCTGGGGTATGATGTGATGTTTTGATATGTGTATACAATGTTGCATGATTAAATCAAGCAAATTTACATGTCTATCACCTGGCTTACCTATCATTTTTTAAGTTGAGACATTTAAAACTTATTCTCTTTGTTGTTTTGAAATATATAATACATTATTGTTGACTGTATTTCTCACTGTCTGTCTCTCTCTCTTTCTCTCTTTTATTATCAGGTCCTTATTTATGGAAGTAAGAACTCAGACTTCCCTTATCTGAAAGAGCATTAGGCTGTACCTGTATTTACTCCCATCCAGCAAAAGACTATTGTTAACAGGTATCCCTCAGGCTGCTCTTTTGTCTGCAGAGAAACAAGTATGTGATTGAGGCATGTGTCAATACTGAGCCAATTATTAGCCATATCCCAGGTGATACTGGGGAACAGATTAGATTAAAAATGAACTCTCCTCCCCAACCCATCCTGTATATTTCCATTAATAAGTGTTTTGAATTATGTGCAAAAAGAAAGGAGTAAAGATTTCAGAAGAATCTATTGTGATCAGGAGTTTACAGAAAATAATTTAAAAAATTAATAACTACCTTTAAGGCTAAGAGTGTATTTCCATTTTATAGATGAAAATAATTGAGACTCAAAGAAATCCAACAATTTGAGAGTGAAGTAGGAGAAACAGCATTTAGCACTTATATTCTAATGATTTGTTTAAGAGCTGTAGGACAGGCTATACAAAGCCAAGACAATTCGGAGAGAGTTGTTAAGGAAGACAGCCTTCAATAACTACCTTATAATCGCTCTTTTCTAGAAAGAGGTGGAATTATCAGGTTGGAATCAAGGATGCTTCCAAACAGAGGGAATATCTCAAGCTATGACTCAGAAGTAAGATAAGAGACTATGATGTGCACAGGAGCTGTTTAAAAATGTTCACTCACCTCTACTCATTCATCGAAACACATTTCAAATACCACTTCCTATCGGAAGCTTCCATAAATCATCACTGTAAGATTCTCTCCATTCTTCCTTGAGAGAAGTAAAATGCAACAATTATCAGATAAAAAGATCTTTAGGAACCTAAAACTCAAAGGCAGTTAATTTTAGGAATGAAAATGGGTCTGCAGCCTGTGTGAATCCATAGAACATGGTATTATTGGACAAGTGCTCTTATTGCCAACATTTTCCCAAACTTCCAGCTTATGGGTGCCGAGCACTCTCTTGCCTTATAGGTTTAACACACGACCTGATTTAATATAGCAATTTTTTTCTTACCATGCCTCATCATTTCTTCTTTTTTCTGGATACTCCAACATTTTGTCCTGCTTTTTTTCTTCCGTTGTAAATGTGGAAAAGCCTAGAAAATGCCTGAAAAAGCTAAGTAGCTCTCATTTAATAGATTGAATAAACAGTTCCTTTCAATTTATTCCAACTGAACATACAGATCCATTCAATCTACAACCTTGAGGGATCCAGATTAATCATTTCCCACAATTGATTGGAATAAATAGAGATAAATAAAAACCAAGTACAGATATGAGTTCAAATTCTAAAAAACCACAGATCCAAAAACTAGCTAATACTAGAAGTTCCTGTTTCTTTATTAACTGTGTGATCCTTAGTTACTCAACCATATGGCTTGAGTAACTAAATTGCTGTGAGAAATAAAACAATTTATAAATTATACTTGGGCAGAGCCTGACTAATAGTAAAATAGTAATTATAAGCACTGAGGTTGGTAGGGTTTACAGGTGTCTGAGATAGACATTAATATAAAAGAAGATTATTGAAAGTGATCTTGGGATCCACATCTGTAGCAAAAGCAA